AAAAGTTCTGCTTTTACCATTCCATCTTCGTAAGGCAGATTCTTATTCCGCAGCCAGTCAAGAATATCCTGTTTCTTCCACGCAGTCGTTGGAAGTCTTTCTACTAGTCGTGAATGATAAGGTACATTATCTAATACTATAATTGAAGTTGGTGGTATGTGTTCAATCATCTGCTCAAAATACTCTTCGAAAACATCAGCTGTCATCTCCTCGTGATAGTCTTTTGTGCTTTTGGACTGAAATTCCAACAAACCATGCTTAACAAATCCTTTTTCACTGCCAATGTGAGAAAATATTAATCTACTGCCTTTATACTGCTACTACTTTATACTGCCTGGAGCTTAATATATTTTTATCTGACCAATTTTTTTTTTAGAGTATGACCTGAGTTTACCCACGTATCTTCTTCCGGTTAATCAAAAGTGATTTTCAGTCTGATTTCTCACACCGGAAATTTAATTTTTTTAAAACTTGCCACAATTTAGTTCGTCCGATATGAGGCGAATCCAGGTCGTCCCTAACTTCTTGTAAAATTTTGTTTAGGTTCGGTATTTCTTTTTTGAAAAAAAAAATCCATGAATTTTCCTTCGAATACCATTTTTGGAAAATTCATCAATTTCAATAGGCTTTTTCCCTCTCTTTAAGTGTTCGTTTGTATTTGGGTTAGCTATACCGTGATTTTTTCTTTCTGATAGGTTGCGAACAGTGTTTGTGGAATTCTGAGAAACCAGAGCATCGTGAACATTCAGGACAATAGTCTTCTCTCTTGGTGAATAGACAAACTTACTGACTGTACGCAACAGTACCGGTGTAAAACTTGATGATATTGATGATAAACCCATCACAAACAATTCAACAAAACGAGCATGATCGAAAGGTACGTATATGTTCGTAGGTATATGGAATAAAAAATCACTCACGCACTGCATATAATTCGCAAAAGAAATATTTGAGACGCGGAAACACCGACGAGCCGTAAATTACATGCGATCAAAAACGTACTAAACAAAAAAATTATTTTCGTTCGTAATAACTTCACCCTTTCAAGTTAAGTTTCGAATATAAACTGAACAGACGAGGCACGTGGCCTCTTTATACCCATTATATTATTAAAAATCTGGGGAATTCCATCCTAATTATCTTGCAACGAATAGTACCTTCGGATATGAATTCCAGGTTTTCTAGTAAAGTGATTAAACGCGAAGATTAGTATTGAAATATCCAAAGAGATAAGGTATTCTTATTTACAAAATTGTTAACAACTAAATTCTTATTTTTATTAATATAATAACCAACATTAGCCGTGAAAGTTTTAATTGTTTTTTGCTAAATATATTAGTTTCAAAACATTATTAATATTAATATTAATTTTAATGAATAAATACCTCAGGAACGCCTATGATGATACAAATTTTACGACCGTTTTATGACTTTGAGGCACATTTCGTGCTATCAACAATTTGTGAACGGATAATAGGTAAATTACTTTAAATTCGCTATTGTAGGGAATTAACCTAATAATATGAGAAAATAATTAAGTTACGTCACACAATGAAATTAAAATTCATAAATGCAAGCACATTCCTTTAATTGTACTAAATAGCGAATAAATTCACAAAAAGACTAGTCCCAAAATACCGTATTACGCATGACGTAAATTAAAACTAACTTCAATAGCAATAATTCACAATTATTCGGGTCATCCACAAAACAGTACTAGAACAAAAGTTTTCGGAGAATATCTAAGAATATTTGATTAGTGATACTAGGTAAAATAAAAAGCAAACCAGACAGAATTTAATATTCGGTTTTAGATCGACAAATTGGATATAGAACGGTAAATAAACTATTAAAGCTTGATTTTAATAAAAAACTATAAGTTGAATGTTATGTAACCGAAGCATGTGATGAATATGGGCTAAAACTTAATACTTCTAAGACAAAATTTATGGTTGTCAGCAAAACAGAGTTACAACCAACGAACATTAGAGCGTATGAATAGAGTTAGAAAGAGTCCACAATATTACCTACTTGGGTGCAAACGTTAACGATAACTGGGATATAAATAAAGAAATAAGAATACGCATTGAAAAAGCCAGAGCCGCCTTCTATAAATTAAAGAAAATTCTAATTAATAGAGATATTACGTTAAATCTTAAAATCAGATTAATACGCTGCTACATATTTTCCACATTGCTGTAAGGTATGGAGAGCTGAACCCTTACAGAGACATTAATGAAAAAATTAGAGGCCTTTGAGATGTGGATTTATCGACGAGTATTGCGGATAAGATAGCTTTACATCGAATGAAAAAGAGCACAGAAATAACAAAAACGATAAAAATTCGAAAGTTACAATATTTCGGTCATGTAATGAGACATCCAGAGAGGTATAACCTTCTACACCTCATAATACAGGGTAAGATCGACGGAAGGAGAGGCCCAGGTCGACGAAGAACATCCTGGCTATGAAATCTCCGAGAATGGTATCAAGAAACCACCTTTAATTTATTTAGAGCCGCCGTGAATAAGGTTATTATTGCCAATATGATCGCTAACGTTCGATAATCGGACAGGGAACTGAAAGAAGAAGAAGATTGATTGTAACGAAAATTACATTTTTAACGAACTCATGTTTGACGTATATATTTCCTACTGATTTATATATCCTCAATTCGCCTGTAATTTGTTCTTAAATTTTGAAATTTAATTCATTTACATCTATGTTTTTGGTTCACGATATTATCACTTTTATGTGAACGCATTAGATCCTCCAACGCGAACACGCACACACACACAAACGCGCATACACACAAACGCGCACACACATACATTTGATTGAATTTGGACTTTGTGCAGCGACAATAAAGCGCAAATTGAATCTTCGACGTTAGGAACATACCTACATTGTTTATACAACAGTGCGTGTTTGTAATTTAATACAAACTTCATCAATACAAACTTTAGCAATAAAGTTCAAATTGACTCTACATTTAGTTAGAAAATATTTGTATGGGAAAAAAGGGCTGTTATATTTTAAACACATTAACTAAATAAAAACAGTAAAATTACGTGTGTAAATTGTAATATGTTAATTGGGTATATATACAAAATTTATAACAATTAATTTGTATAAAATACATTTGTAATATTTTTGAGAAAAAGTGATTATCAAAAAATAATAAGCATATTTCAAGAAAAATTAATTTTTTATAAAATTTATTTCTAAAAGATAGTATTTATAACTATAATACATACATATTTAAGTTGCTTATCATGTCATAACCTTTTCTATTAATAATAAGAAAAAAGTAAAATTTTGCATATTTTATATTTAATTTAAATTGTTCAAACAAATTACTCGCTTAAAAAATGTTAAATAAACAATTCACAAATTAACTGATTGAATTTTTATAATCTATGCAATGAGGTATCCCAAATTAAAAAAAAAAACACACACATCAAGTTTCGTTGATTAGAGCCAGAGATATTGCGACTTTTATACATTTGAATTAATGAATTCAGTTTTTTTTGTCTAAACTTGAAACTTTTAATCTTTTTAAATTTATTATTGTTTATAAACAAATTTTTGAAAAAAAGGCTAACTCGGGTTTTGAGGGTCGGTTTAAGGACATTATATTTCATTTTGAATTAGTGCAAAAATGCCAACATGGCGAATAAAAAATATTAACTTCCCATATGATATTGTGTCTGAGCTATTTTAATTGTTTCTAAATTTAAAATCACAGTATCTACGTTTACAAACTCATTTTATAATATTTGACACAAACTTTTTAATCGATAAATGATTTAAATTGATAAAATAATTTTTCTTCAATTTGGTGCTTTCAGAATTTATGTAGACATAATAGTTTACACATAATAACGTTATAGATAAAAGCTTCTGGGATAAACAATTTCAATTTTGCAATAAAAGTTTTTTTAGAACTGAATATTTGTGATATTGTTCGTATTTTCATGCGATATTCAAGTTTTTTATGAATTTTTAGACAAGTTTTTAATAATAAAATCGACTTTTAAGGTATTTTTTAATAATAATTAAGCAGCAGATTAACAAAAATAACTTTACAAACTTTCATTTTATAGGATTGTGTATGTTTTGTTCAGTAAAATTGTGTCACTTTTCCATACAATTTAAGGTCGTCACCTTTAGTCTTTAAAATATTGTTTTCAATTCCGAAGTAAAAATTTTTCGAGTTTGGCAACGGCTCTTGTTTTTTTGTGCGCCGTTTAAATACATTCTGACATTTTGGACGAGTTTAATAGTTTTTTATTTCATTTTTCAATACGCGCGAAATTTTTGAAAAGCACTTTGACATTTAGCAAATCCGTACGACACTGAGTTTTTGCAGTATTATAAGGTAAAATTTAAAGTGTATATAATAATAGTGTATATACTATTCAGTGACCCCAGCTGTACTATTAGTGCACTACTCATAACAAATATTTACCACACCTATAGAAGTGTATACCATCTACTATCGCATCAAAAGTTTTCTCTAAAAGTAACTCCTTTAAAATAATTCATACACAAAATTAATATATCGAGTAGGTATATTCAAGATACGTATGAACTCGTGCATTTACTGCACTTGCTAGAATGATATTTTAACGCTATAGGGATTCACTACTATTAGGTGTTAAGTAAATTGTTGAAATTTATATAAGAAAGAATAACACGGCGACCGAATACCCCCTATACTTATATGTTTTAAAATTCCCAAAAATTATTTTATTAACTGTACTATACCATAAACTGTAATATGTAGATGCGATCTTTTTATGCGTTTAAAAAAAAATATTTTTACATTGAATGGAGATTTGTTGATATGTGTATATACTTATGTATTATGTACTACTATTTATCTAAATAAACTTATTCCTAAATAAATTTCTTTCAAGCATGGCGATATAATTATTATCCAACCAGATAACAAAATAAGCACAAGAACTTAAAAATAAACCATGTATATAACAAACCTTTTAATCCATTTAGAAATAAAACGATTCAAACGCCGTTTTTTACCCATATTGCCACGGAAACTCACAATTTTACACGTTAATTTTCCAATGCCTCAAAAACTACTACCTAGTGCCTAGTAGTGCACAAAAACCGCGGCGACACAATCTTATTTAGAGCACGAGTTGCAAGCCAACCAACGTTTGGAATTCTCTTTCTCTCTGTTTAAATTTTATTTATAGCCACCCCGAGATAGAAGTATTCGGTAGGATGATGGCACCGAGATTTAGAAGCGACTCTAATCACCGTTTTGGAAAATTAAAAAATAAAAATTAACCTTTTGGCAAGCGACTGAAAGTTGGTCAATCGAAAAAACAACAAAAAAATAAGTCTTGAAAGGGCAAATACCCGAACACAGAGGCGTATCGTTATAATCAATATTTTATAAAAAAGAAATTTTAAACAAAATTCACATAAAGCAATTAATTTAATTTTATTTGATGGAAAACTATTAATTGTAAGTTATGTTTTTTTTTAATAAAAAATTAATTTTAACTTTAGAACTTAATAAGAACTAAATTTTATTCTATAATGAACATGCGTTAACATAAATTTGAAATCACACTACAATTTACAAGTTTTATTTGGCTCTTGATGTTATTGCTATTTCCTTGATTTTACTGCAATTGCTACTTCTTTAATTACAATAATTGTGGCCTACCTACCGATTTTAAGATTATGATGTTTTGAACTTTCAAATCTTAAATCATCAATATGTGATAATAAATCCGTAAAATAGGTTCGAAACACAATTCAGATTTCTGCTTTTTAATCTGTGCCTTCTAAATGCAAGGCAAAACAGACGTTGATAAAGGTGCTAAAAGAGACATGGGGAATCTAAAATTTGCATTCCACGACATGTCTTTTCAACTAAGCAGAAATCCTTAGCGAATTGGTCTCTTGTACTCATACAGAGTAGATCCGAATAAAATGAAAAAAAAAAACGGCAAATATTTGATTTCACGCAAACAGCGTCTATGTATCTGTTGATACGTATTTCGACCTAATAGGTCTCATCAGAACAGTTATTCATAGGCGTTCTCAACGTGAAAAATCAATATTTTCTGTCTTTTAAGAAGCAACACTAAAATGGCTTCGATATGGACGCAATAGCGATATCTGATAATAAATCCGTAAAATAGTTTCGAAACACAATTCAGATTTCTGCTTTTTAATCTGTGCCTTCTAAAAATTGCAAGGAAAACAGACGTTGATAAAGGTGTTTTTCATTTCATCAATATGTGTTACTCATCAATCTCATCGTCAAATCTTCCATGCTGTTTTATCGGATAGTTGTAGTTCTGTCAGAAATATCGTGAGTGTTTCTCTCATTTATCATAAAGCAAAACCGTCCTAAATTATATTAATATGTATACTCATTCAAAATGCCTTCTAAGAAAACTGGAACACTTCGATGGTGGAAAAATCCATAGTCCACAAATTGTACACGACCACTCTGTAAGATTCAAGTTTCTTCGATCGGTAGAGTCCTTCTCAAATTCCCACACTTCTTAAGCCAAGATAGAAAAACACCAGCGATATGTGTGAGTAACACATAACGCCATTCATATATATCTCAATTCAGATATTGTGTCAACACCTAACGTGAGAAGCCTCAAGGTCACCATCATGAATCTATTCCTCATTGTTTTGCAACACACGGTAATGTTTTGAGTATATGTTAAGGTCCCAGAGAGTTCACATGCGTTCGCATGCACATTTAAGTGATCTAATCCTACCACATAGATTATTTCGAGTTAAACCTTCGATGACCTCCAATTCTTTCGGCAACATTACCGAATTGTTAGTATCGATACCACAACATAAAACTGAAAATTATGTGAAAAATCAGCTTGCGAAAGACCACCTTTAGGTAGTAATATTATTTTAATTGATGCGTACGCAGTGAAGCGAAGAACAGCCATTCATTAGCTCATGGAAATAAAAAAAGACCATGTTTGGTACTTTGGATTTCGATATAAAGAAGACCTACATGATTCGTATAAAAGATTCCAAAAGTAATACTAATTCGTTGCTCCGAAAACTACAAAATAAGGCAAAATCGTTAAATAATTTATGTCTTATTTCAAGGCTTCCTTCAATATGAAGCAGTCGGTTCAATAATATCAGAAGAACCAGACAGCGGACCAATGATAATAAATAAAGAGGTACCATATTAGCTCAAGATTATGAAAAACGAAAGGCTCCTGGTCCAGACGAGATGTCTGTTGCAATAAATCACGGATAACTTTTGTTCAAAACATCCCGTATTCAAACAGTTTTTATATTTTTGGAGATATGTGGACGATATACTGGAATGTTTCTTCTTCTTCTAGTTCCATGACCGTTATCGATCGTTGGATATCATGTTGGCTACCATATTCGCTATCGTGACTTTATTGACAGCAGCTCTAAATAACGAAGTAGTTGATTTTCCATACCATTGCCTTAGATTTTTCAGCCATGATGTTCTTCTTCTACCAGGACCACGATTACCTTGGATCTTTCCCTGAATGATCAGATGTAAAAGATCATATTTTTCAGGGTGTCTCATAATATGACCGAAGTATTCCAGCTTGCGTTTCTTTATTATATTGACCAGTTGTGTTGTTTGGTTCAGCCGTCTAAGGACCTCCTCATTTCTAACTCTGTCGACCCAGCTTATTTTCAGTAGTCGTCTGTATACCCACATCTCAAAGGCTGTCAAGCGTTTAAGCATAGCCTCAGTTAGGGTCCACGCTTCTACTCCATACAGCAGGACAGGAAAGATGTAGCAAGATATCATACGAACTCTAAGGTCAATGCTAAGATCATGACTGCAAAGTACGTTTCTCATTTTTACAAAGGCAGCTCGGGCTTGTTCTATTCGGCTTTTAATTTCTGCGGTTGGATCCCAGCTCTCATTGATATTACTGCCGAGATACACGAGTTTCTCTACTCTGTCCAGTGTGGCATCTCCGACTTTTATACCGTCATCATGTATATAATTTTGTTTGCTAACTATCATATATTTAGTTTTCTTAACGTTGAGTTTTAGTCCATACTGATCACAAGTCTGTTTTATTTTGTTCATTAGATTTTGAAGGTCTTCTCCGCAATTGGCAAGGACTAAGGTATCGTCGGCATATCTAATATTGTTGACGGTTACTCCATTCACAATAATACCTTCGGTTGTCTCCATTAAGGCTTTCTTAAATATTTCCTCCGAATATAAGTTAAAAAGTAAAGGCGACAATATACAGCCTTGTCTCACTCCTCTTTTTATATTTATTTCATCCGACAGTTCTTGTTCAACCTTTATTCTTGCCACTTGATGCCAGTATAGATTTGTAATTATTCGTAGATCTTTATCGTCCAATCCAGCTGTTTCCAATATTTCTAGCATTTTGTTATGTCGCACTTTGTCAAAAGCTTTTTCAAAATCGATTGCACAAATATACACATTTTGATTTATATCTCTGCATCTCTGTACTAGCACCTGTATACTAAACAAAGCTTCTCTTGTACCCAAGCCACTCCTAAACCCAAATTGAGTATTGCTAATTCTGTCCTCTAACAGCGTATAAATTCTGCTGTGTATTACTCGCAGAAAGATTTTCAAAACGTGACTCATCAGACTTATTGTCCGATAATCACCGCATGTCTTTGGACGATGTTTCTTAGGTATTGTGACAAATGTCGACTTTAACCAATCAGTTGGTAATATCCCAGTGTCATAAATTCTGTTAAAGAGATTACACAGAGCTTTAATTCCATTTTCTCCCAAAAACTTTAGTATTTCAGCACTTACTTCATCGGGGCCAAGTGCTTTTCCATTTTTTGCCGTTTGTATTGAACGTCTTACCTCACTTTCTGTTATAGATGGACCTGATATAGCAATCGGTGTATAGTGTTCTACTCTCTCATCTTCAAATAATTCAGAAATGTAGTTTTCCCATTCTTTTAACTTTTCATTGATGTCTAATATTCTGTGTCCGTTTCTGTCTTCTAAACTTTGGGATACTTGTTTCCATTTGTTTCCAGCGACCTCTTTCAATTTCTTGTGCAGATGAAATGTATCGTGTTTCTTTTCATATTGTTCAATTTCATTACATTCTTTACTATGAAATTGTGTTTTCGCGTGTCTTATCTTCTGCCTGATTATTGCGTGGATCCTCTTGTATTCGTTTTTATCTTTATTTCTGACTTCTCTTCTTTGATCCATAAGTCTCAGTATTTCTTCTGTCATCCACCCTTGTTTTTTTCTTGCTTTTAGCGCACTCAATTTTGTTTCTTGAACAGTCTTTAAGATGTCTTTAATTCTCGTCCAGTTTTCCTCAGTACTTTCTTCTTTGTTTGATGTTAACTTCATCTAATGTTCTAATATACTAGTTATTTCTTGTTTTACAGTATCATTTAGCATCGTTTCTCTATCAATAGTAACTGTTTGCTTGTTCGTCCTTGCAACTCTTTTTAATCTCAGTCTTATTTTTCCTGCTAAAACATTGTGATCGGTTGGTACATCTGCTCCTGGATATGTTTTTACTGATAATACTGAATTTCTGTATCTCTTATTTATACATATGAAGTCTATTTGGTTACGAATAACTCGTTCAGGTGTATCTGCTGGTGATTTCCAGGTGTAAAGACGACGTTTTGGAAGTTTGAAAATTGTGTTCATTATTACTAATTGCTTTTCTACGCAAAAAGATGCCAACATATCTCCTCTTTCATTTCGTATTCCCAGACCATATTTCCCTATGACATCTTCCTGTTCACCTTCACCAATCTTTGCATTAAAATCTCCCATGATAATATTGAGATCGTGTTTCTTTGTAGGTGCTAATACTTTTTCTAAATCATGATAGAATTTTTCAATTTCTTCTTGTTCATAGTCTTGTGTGGGTGCATATACTTGTAATATGTTCACATTGATTGTTGTTGATTGTATTTGTATCATCAGTATCCTGTCTGAGAATAGGACGACGTTTTTTACAGCTTCATCTGTTTCCTTCGACACAATTATTGCTACACCATTTTTGTGTTTTGAGCTGTCTTCTCCTGAATAGTATACAATGTGGTCATCTACAGTTACTTTTCCAGACCCCGGCCATCTC